TATGTATATATAACTTATTGATATTACGCTGGCTTATGTGATCATTGAAATATGAAGCGGATATTGCACTTGGTTAATTAGAGTCCGAAATAATCTATCTTAGATAAAAGAAAAGTAGCCTCCTTTAATAGGTTAGATGGTAGTGGAATCTTGTGTCACAACACGAGAGAGAGAGAGAGAGAGAGAGAGAGAGAGAGAGAGAGAGAGCACTTTGTTCCCCACTTGGGTGGATCCATGACGTTTAAGGGAGCACCAAAATCCTTTTGAGCATATTCTCTGGATAAGGGAGCACCAAAATCAACCCTAAAGTTTGATTAAATAAGCATAAGAAAATAAATAAATGTTTGTCTTCTATATGGTCTTGTGCTCGAATTCCACAAAGGTTAAACATTTTAAATTCTTTGGGACCACCGGAGTGTTTGTCTGGTTGCTAACTTTAATTTGGGGTTCTAAAATTAATCAAGATACGAGCAAGGTGACATCCGATTATTTTAAATAAATAAAAAATATGGAGCACCTACCCTTAGGAACCACAAGTGCAATGATGCATAATGCATACAATGACAGAGATAAGCCTCTAAACTACAACCCGTATCTACCAAAATTACGTTAATTTAGCAAAGCTAGACCTAACAGTACTAGGAGCTTTTGGATGTATACATGTCAAAAAATAGTAATGAAACGTCCTAAAAAGACTTTCTGTGATGAATTAATTCATGTGTAGATGAATTGAATCATGATGTTTTTCTTTTCTTTAGTGGTCCTTCCATTTCCATTTCAAATCGAAGTATATATTTGCTAGCTTTTGGTCAACTTGCAAACAACTGTACAATAAAGAGGATCAACACCTCCCTTTTGCAGCATTGTTCTATCTAGCTAGGTAATATATAAGTTTCATGAATATATACAACACAAAGGTTAGAAAAGAGTATGCTGCGTATGCTATGGAATTTGAGGATTTTCAGCTTGTAAAAGGGAAAATCACAATGTTGTAATTCGTAGAACGTGCATTGTACGTAGCTCTCTATCGATCTTCTAGCGACCGAGACCATCTTTCTAATTAGGTCATCTGCATCGAGAGGATGAATAATATCGATCATTCTGATCTCTAAGGACGTCATAACTCTCTAGCTAGGAGTACGAGTCCCAATTCCGAACGATATATAGAGATAATTGTCATTCCTCGATCACCTTGCATAAATGTCATCCTACGTACTCGATCAAAGCCTGTATGGAAACTAGTTGGCCTGGGCCTCAATCATATGCATGCCGAAAAGATCGATCCTCTATAAAATTCTAGCTAATTAAGGGAAAAATAATTATGGATGTCAGCCAGGTATCTCGATCACCTCCTCGTCTTCTTCTAGTCTAGAAATTAAAACACTAATTGTATCTACATCTTCTTCTCCAATTAAGTTATTCCACTTGACAACCCTGTGTCAATTGCAGGTTGGTTCATTGACCTAATTGTACGGGATCTGAGAACAGGTTCTTTTTTTTTAATCTCCCGAACTTTGAATCCATGCCTGCCATACACATTCCTTTTGGAGCATTTCGATCTCTAGGTTAAAAAAAAAAAAAAAAAAAAGGTTTCAATTATATATATATAGGGAAACTGATCATCGATCTTACAGCAAATCGATGATCTCTTCATCGATAAAAATTCTGCACCTTGCATTTTGCTGGCTCACCTTCCATCATCCCCACCCCTGTTTTTACCAAAATCCTAACCTTCACATCGGGGCACCAAACATACATCTGCCGCCCGTATTCGATAAAGTCTTCTCTCGTCTCAAGATTCGGCCACAGCCTCCCCTTTGCGTTAACATCGAATGACAAGTACTCGAACGAATTGAAGTCCCCGCTGGGCATTCCTTTTGGATCGCGTGTCTCCACGTGGGGGGCATTCCTCGTTGGAGGGAATATTGCCTTCACCATTGTATGGTTAGATTCGTTTTGGAAAAATGGTTCCGTGATTGCTATGGAAAGAGGCCTTTCAGCGTGGAAAAGGGAAACCACAATCTTGTCGAAGAACACGATGGTGCAGTTGAGAGGTTTGGTCACGTTAAAAGTAATCTCTCCTTTGATTACTCGAGAAGAGGAGAGAATATTATTGGAGAGAGAGAACGAAGCCGAATTAACCTTGAATTGCGGGTTAGCCGCGGGTTCGATTTCTGCTATTTCTATGAGGTCAATCGAGACTTGCACCAAGCACACAACGGTGGTAAGGAACACAAAGAGCACCAACAACCCAATTACAAGCCCTTGGACATTGTTTTCTTCATTGGAATTGCGCCGGGCTGGAAATGGCGATGGCGGTAATGATGTTTGGCCTCCGGTAGTCTCCAACGCAATATAAGCGGAACAAGAGGAGACAGGAATTGGTTTAGGATGCATTGTCGATCGGTTTGGTTGGATGGATGAAATTTGGAAAGCAGGTGAGACGAGGCTATTTATATATCGAGATATATATGCATGAATTTAGTGAGTGACAAATAAATTAATATAGTCAAAAGTTGCATGCAAATAACTGTTTTAAGAGAGATGGCCAGTGTTGTTTGATTACATTTATAGTAAAACCTAAATATAGTAAAATTTGCAAATACCCGTTAAGAGAGATCGATGGTGTTGTTTGCTTACAAATACGGCAATGTTGACCCGGAGACTAACCATCGAACAAATTGGTCGTTCCTTTTGCAGAGCCAAGTTGGGACCCGGGGGCTTTAGTTCAACCCATCCAAGTTATAAGAGGATCCGAAGGGGGAAAGATCTAGACTAGATCGAGCGAACGCTGATCCCCACAAAAACAAACCTAGTAATTTACAAATTAATAGTAGCAAAAACTTAAACTAAGAATCTGTACAAATTCCACATGCAACAAGTGAATATTCTAAAAACAAAATACTCTCTAAGAGTGAATAATAACAATAAGCTCTCATTATCTCACAAAAATGATGAAACAATGTACGTAATAATAGATTGAGGAAGAAGATCAAAAGTGCTCTTTCTTAGAGGGTGAAATCGTTTGAATTTTAGATATGGCCGGCATACCGAAGCGATGGTTTGGTATAGAATTAATGCACACTGATACCGGCCAAAATATTTGGGGGCAAAATCAGTTTGGGATGGTTCGAACTAGTCGATGATTCCGGGGGGGTTCAGGTTGGGCTTCAAAAGATTTTGGCCGCATCAAATAAAATTTTGAGCCACGACCAAAAAGAAAACGGATTCGGGGATCCTGCTGACCTCCCTCATCCGATCCAGACCGTCCTCTTGACAATTAATGGTAAGGATTTTAAGAAAACTCTTCCAGAAAAAAGTTAATGTCATGTTTGGTAATCATTCCATTTTTTGTTTTCTGTTTTCATTTTCAGAATTTTCAAAAATTAAAATTGAAAGTTTGTTTGGTGCACTACTTCCACTTCCAAATTCTAGTAATCACTTTCACTATTTTCATAATTTGAGGAAGTAGCAAAACCCAACTTTCACTGTTTTCAAAAACAAAAAACTGGCTGCTAAGAAAAGTCTCCGCTAGGACCGCTACAGTGTCAGGTACTCAACCCAACCTATTCGTTGGTTAGAATCCTCTCTCTCTCTCTCTCTCTCTCTCTCTCTCTCTCCAAATACAGTTCTCAAGAAACCCATCTCCTGCACTCTCTTCCAAATACAGATCAAGAGAAATTGCAAAAACCTGTTTCGGATGGGATCCTATGGAGCTTCAAAACCCTTGAGAAGCCGACGGATCACTTGCGTCGAGCCCGGAACGGCGGGCTGCATTTTCTGTCATAAAAGTGAGAGAGAAGACAGAATATCTTCGGGTATCGGATGCTTGCTTCAACAGTCCCTTATTCCTCCGTACAATTCGTTTGATCTTCTGTCACTACATTCTTTGCTGTTTATACATGTACCACGAAGTTTCAGCTTCGTGTTTGGGACATCTCTTTTTCCATCGATTGGGGGGTGTTTTGCTTTGGATGTTTTCTTTTAACTAAGAACTATCATTCAGATCTTTAGGCAAATTCAGATGTGGAGACATGGATTTGATGACGATTCCGAGGACAATGTTAGTTGGAGCGTAGATAAACAAAAATGTGTATTCAATTGAGCTTGATTGTGTTGGTCCCTTTGTTGTTGTGTCACCGTTCCCGTACCAACTTTTTTTTTTGAAAAATAAGTTAACACAAACATATTTTCTGTTTTCATTTTTTTTTAGAAAAAGTAGAAACTGATTTTAGCAAATTGAAAACAGGAAACAAAAAAGTGGCAGCGTTAACAAACATAGCCAAAAGACTCTTCCCTAGAATTTTTTTTTTTTTTTAAATTCTGACCACTCAAAATATTTTTAGACGGTCTGAATGGAGTATAACACCCATGCTAGCTTACCTTTGAGGATCAGCAGGATCCCCCGTTTGAAAGAAAACACAAGCATAGTTCACATTCAATGCACCCAACTAATATTGCTATTCTCTCCGTCCCAAAAAGAATGACAAGTTTTGAAACTCGTGTAATTTTTCATTCCTTATATTTTTTAATCTATAATGTTTTTCACGAATTTGAAAACTTAGTATAATAAAACTAATTAAAAACTATTAAACAAGATTCATATTACATATTTTTTGAGATCCATATTGAAAGATGTAAGGAACATATATCAAAAATTGAAATCCAATTTGAGACGGAAGGAGTATTAAAAATGGACTTAGGCCATACAAGTACTCATATCTTGGGCCACAAACCTAGACCGTGTACAAAATGAAACGTATTGCCAAAATTACAACCAAATTCTTGGCCACAACCTAATTTCCATGATTATATATACTTGTATTACAACCAAATTCGCAGGAACCAATTCATACCATCTTCTTAATTACCTATTTCGATCTATCACTCTTCAAAGTTTTAACTTGACACTAGAATTTGTAGACATATAAACTAAAAAATATTAATAAAAGCAAGATCGATCTTTCATTCTAAAATGAAAAATTCACAATGAATCAAATCTCCACAAGTAGGATTTGAACCTACAATTAGGCAGCTAATTAACAGCCAAACATTCTAGCTACCACTGAGCTACTGACTGATAGAAAGGCTAACCCAAACAGTATTTGTGATCGATCTTGATCAAATAGTAAAAGAGGTTAGGGACATAGTATTTTTCTTAGACAATATAATATAGGGAAGAAGAAGTTTTTGTTTTTTGTTTTTGGTTCAACAAGGTTGGTTATGTTGATAGACACCATCTTATTAGTGCATGAGTATTTTGGAGATAGAGGATTTTAATTAAGGAGATAGCTTTTGGTCTATATATTAGCAGATTGATTTACTAGTTTTTTTTGTAGCTGTTGTGGTGCTGCATGCTCTAAGTAGTACACAGCATATTCATGTCTATGATTGTTCTTAATATATAACATCAATCTTTACCACAAATTTTTTTAAAAAAGGTTAATGTTATAAAATAAGGAAAAAATATTTTTATTTTCATATTTTTTAGTGATGTTCAAAACATAATCCATTTTCAATGTACGGTAGTATAGACATTCCTGGAAGGTGGCAAAATACAACTCAATTACGTACTCTAGTTAGGACGTTAGTTTAACACGATAGCAATCGGAACACTCATTTGTACATTGAATTAACCATTTGCAATGCCAACTCATTGTCACGATAAATTAAGATTGTCTGACAAAGCTAATTAAAATCTATATATCCTTTTTCATACACCTTCAATTTAGCGTCCATAAGTCAGTCATCTCTCTCGATCAATTGGCATTTCCAAAGGTACAAATTTAGTTGTTACTAAAAATGTATATGTACATCTATATATACCCTCGTGTTTGCTTCTGAATATCATCCCTTTGCCAAAAACAAAACAAAAAATGTGCCGTGAAATTTTGCCCTCCCCCTCTCCCCTAGGGTACAGCCCGGTGAAAACTTCCGACATCGATTCTACCGCCAACCAATCCACCGTGGAGCTCCCCACCGTCAACGCCGCCACCACCATTACCATAGAAACCCCACACCTTGAACCTCATCCCACTTCCTTTCCAAACCTACCACCACCGCCCCAACCTCAACCCATCCCCGAGCAAGAGCCAGACTTTTTGTCTGTAATTGTTGGTCTGTTGCTATTGGTTGGAGCTTCTGTCATCATATATAAGGCTCTGGGCGCTCTAACCTATATGATGACATATGGATTCGATCCCTACGGCCCAGAAATCCGCCTCGAGTCAGTTTCATTCTCTCTCCAAAATATCTCCTTGTCTAAAATAACCACGAGAGGAGAAATCACATTCGACATAACGAAACCGCATGATTGCTCAGTTTCCATATACGACGATATTGTGGTCTCGATTTTCCACAAGGAAAAACCTCTTTCCATGACGGTAATGGAACCCTTTACCCAAAAGGAAAAGAATACAATGGTGAAAGCAATGTTCCCGTCGATAGTTTCCCCAATCGATACCCGGGTTTCAAAAAGAATGGCTTTGTATCTTGTTCGGAATTCTTCTTTCGAGTTCTCATTTGACGTGAAAGCAAAGGGGAGGCTGTGGCCGAACGAATGGATGGGACCGGAGGATTCGGACGACGCCCGGTGGATAAATATTTGGTGCCCCGATGTGAAGGTTGAGATTGTTGCAAAAACGGGGCTGGGGACAATGGCAGGGGAGCCGATGAAATGCGAAGTCAAGGCCCAGAATAGGTTATTATTTTGATTTCTTTTAGGAAATCATATGTACTTATATCCATAAAATGATATTGTTCTTTGGTTTATGCATCAGATCAGATCAGATGTTTTAATTGTTGGGATACACCCAAGTGGTGTGGGTGTGTTGTAGGGGATAAAACCCCTAGGTCTCTTTTCCCTTTTGTTGACTGCCTTTCGGCAGTGTGTGTGTGTGCCAGCCGTGAGGGAGCGTGGAGAGAGAGCCGGGTGAGGCTCCCCCGTCCAGGGGAGCGGTGCTCTTCGGAGATGCTCGGATACTCTGTCGGAGAGCCACCGGAGTGAGGGAGAGAGAGAAGAGTGGGGAAGTCGGCTTGTGTCTATCCCGGAGAGGTTTTTCATACTTGTATATGTGATTTATACATAGTGGAGTTTTTCCTCGGATATCTCTCGTTTGTGCTTGGTTTATTTTCGTGCTTGTGCTTGAAGGTGTGAATCGGGGTCGGGGTCTCGACCCAACAGTGGTATCAGAGCCGGAGTTGCTGGTTCGGAGCTGCGGCTGTGCAGCGGAATGCACCGTCGGAAGAAAGCACGGAGCATCACTTTTGCTGGGTTCTCGGTTGAGCCATCTGAAATCTCAATCGGACCAGTAAGGGTTGTGCACCTCACTGAGACGAGTCTATAGGAGGTGACGGGGTCGAGTTTCGTCACCGGATGAAGGCTCGGGAGCCATTCGATCGCAGCGGGCGGAGTCGGCGATGGGCAGAGAGGCTGTTTTGAAAAGCCCGAGGTTGTGGATGATCGAAGACGAGTTTTGAGCACTGGGTTGTGTTCAACTCGAGGAGACGATCACGGATTGGGGTAGCACGTCGCCGGAGGAGCTCGGAGGTGGCGGCAATGGCCATTCGAACGGTTGGGGCGAGCGGCGAAAGGGCGGTTCAAGGGTGGTTCGTACCAGGAGTCGTCGGATGCGAGATTGGAGCACGGGGTTGTGTTCGTCTCGTCGAGACGAGCTCGGGAGTGGTCGGAAAATCACCGGGCGACTCCGGAGGAAGCCGCACGCGCGGTCAGAAGGAGCGGCGCGTGGGAGCGCGTCAGATCTACGCGTGCGGCTGTGCTGCACGGGCGGGACAGTGGCTGGCACACACCAGCACGTGGAGGGCACACGCTGGCAGACACCAGGCGTGTGCTGGTCAACGCCACGAAGGACGGTCAACGCTGACAAGGAGATGAGTCAGCGCCATATGGCGGACACGTGGCAGTGTCACGTCAGCAGAAAGTGGTCCCAGGGTGCCACTTCAGCGGGTCAACTATCCATGTCAGCCGGTCAACGTTGACGTGGCAGTCCAGTCGCGGCACTGTGGCTGGTCAACGGTCAAACTGCGGGTCAGATTGGTTTTTGCGCTTTTCGGAGCCATTCGGACTCCGTTTTTTGCGTATGAGTAGTCGGTTTTGACTATTTTTTTGTTCCGGACGCAACCACACACTCCGTTTTCAGTTTGGAGGCTCCTAGGCTGGTGCGAGTGCTTAGTGGAGCAAGAAAACGTGTGTTTGGAGGCGGTTTGGGTTGCTTGGAGGCTTGGCTTGTAAGCAAGGATACATTACATTCGAGCGGGGTTGTTCGTCTGGTAATGACACAGGCGCTTACGGCTTATTGCAGCAAGGACAATCGGTGATGATCTGTTGCGGAGCTGGTAGGCAAGGATACATTACATTCGGGCTAGGTTGCTCGTCTGGTAATGACACAAGCGCTTATTGGAGTGATAGATCGATTCCGATGGAGATCCTGGATGCTGGGAAAAGCCGGGAATGGAACGAGGATGGACAAGTGGCAGGGAGGAGACCTGGGGAGAGCTGACGGGAGTGCAGGGTGTTGACGGAGAGTGGCAGATAGGACGATTGACGGAGCAGACTTACAGAGATCGGAGGTTGATCAGTGCAAACATGCGCGGAGCTAGTGAGCAAGGATACACTCGGGTTGGTAGTGACACAGGCGCTCACTAGAGCGATGGTTTGCGGAGATGATTGACAGTGATCGGAGGCAATCTGGTTCAATCGGATGTTGTGCTCTGTGATTGGGCACGGTGCGTTCGGGGTTCAGCCACGGAAGATCTAGTCTTGTAAGGAGACACTCGGTCAGTTGGTATATACACTTCCGGTGTGGGGGTGGTGAGACTTCTGATGGCTCGCAGTGACACAGGCACTTGACTAGAGGGGCAGAACGGGATTGGCGGACGCGGATTACGGCATCCAGGGGGTGATGCGGGCACTCAGGCAGCAGAGGAGCACGGATAGAAATGGACTTTGCTGCGGACATCTCGAGATTGAGAAGTGGAGTATCCGGGTTTGGATGCGGAGCACTCGGTTGAAGGGGTGCGGTGTATTGGCGGTGTTTGCCGATATGAGCCATAGATATCTAGATGGGTTTTAGCCTCCTCGCAGATGATGTGTAAGATTATCTGGCAGGTGGAGCCTCTGGTGTGAGCAGGGGGTAGCTGTGGTGCTAGAGTGGCAGAATGCAGCCGGACAGCGCTGCGGATTCAGCGATTGTCCCACTCGGGTGTAGGGGGTGATTGTTGGGATACACCCAAGTGGTGTGGGTGTGTTGTCGGGGATAAAACCCCTAGGTCCCTTTTCCCTTTTGTTGACTGCCTTTCGGCAGTGTGTGTGTGTGCCAGACGTGAGGGAGAGTGGAGAGAGAGCCGGTTGAGGCTCCCCCGTCCGGGGGATCGGTGCTCCTCGGAGATGCTCGGATACTCTGTCGGAGAGCCACCGGAGTGAGGGAGAGAGAGAAGAGTGGGGAAGCCGGCTTGTGGCTATCCCGGAGAGGTTTTTTCATACTTGTATATATGATTTATACATAGTGGAGTTTTTCCTCGGATATCTCTCGTTTGTGCTTGGTTTATTTTCGTGCTTGTGCTTGAAGGTGTGAATCGGGGTCGGGGTCTCGACCCAACATTACTCGCATGAATGTTTAATTTCAGAAATCGAATTGTACGGTGTGGTCTCAAAGAAAATATTTGTTATACTTTGGAGCATTTATGATATGATTGATTGAAATGAGATAACACATGTGAGGATTATACAATTTTTACATTTTCAATCCCACTCTCTCTTTGGAAAACAAACATGAGCTTTGGGAAGGGAAGGGTTTTACTATTAGATGGGTGTTTTACTATTAAATTCATCGAACCCAATGAAAGAGGATAATTACGGAATTGAGTGAAGATATGCTTCAAGTTGCGTTACATTGTCGTTGTTCTTAAGATGATATTCGCCCCCACCAATTTGAGAGAATCTGGTGTGCATCGGATTACACTGAAGCCATCTTCAAGATAAAATGAAGCCCGATCTTTAGCCTTTTGTCTAACGTCATGGACTAACGAAAAGAGAGACCTGAATTACCTTCAGATTTTGCGAGCCC